CAAGACCATTTCATTTTTTTTCTTCAAAGTTATTTGAAAATTATCTACATTTTTTAAGTTAAAAAAAATTTTTACAACAATAAAGAACAATCCAACTGAAAAATGGAGAAGAAACATTTCTCCAAAGAAAATATACAAATGGATAATAAACACATGAAAAGATGCTCAACATCACTGATCACTAGGGAAATGCAAATGAAAACCACAAGACAATACTTTTCACCTGCTAGGATGGCTGTAATCAAAAAGAGAGACAATAACAAGGGTTGATGAGGATGAGAAAAACTGGAATGCTCATGGATTGCTGGTGGGATTGTATAATGGTGCAGCCACTTTGGAAAATAGTTTGACAGTTCCTCAAAATGTGAAACAGTTACCATATGATGCAGCAATATCATACCCAAGAGGAGTAAAAACATATGTCCACCCAAATACTTGTACACAAATATTCATAGCAGTATTGTTGATAACAGCTAAAAGGTAGAAACCAAAAATGTCTATTAACTAATGAATGGATAAATAAAACATGGTATAGAATGTTATTCATCAATAAAAAGAAATGAAGTACAGTCAACCCTCCATACCAGCAGGTTCTGCACCTGTGAATTCAATCAACTACAGATCAAAAATATATTTTAAAAAATTCCAGGACTTCCCTGGTGGTGCAGTGGTTGAGAGTCCGCCTGCCAATGCAGCGGATACGGGTTCGTGCCCCAGTCTGGGAAGATCCCACATGCTGTGGAGCGGCTAGGCCCGTGAGCCATGGCCGCTAAGCCTGCGCATCCGGAGCCTGTGCTCCGCAACGGGAGAGGCCACAACAGAGAGGCCAGGGTACCGCAAAAAAAAAAAAAAAAAAAAAAAATTCCAGTAAGTGCCAAAAAGCAAAATTTGAATTTGCCTAGGGAAGGCAAATTTATGTAGTTGTAAAAACACATTGTATTTGCAACTATTTACACGGTATTTATATTGTTTTAGGTATTATAAGTAATCTAGAGATATTTTAAAGTATAGGATGCGTGGGGCTTCCCTGGTGGCACAGTGGTTAAGAATCTGCCTGCCAATGCAGGGGACACGGGTTCAAGCCCTGGTCTGGGAAGATCCCACATACCACAGAGCAACTAAGCCCGTGCGCCACAACTACTGAGCCTGCGCTCTAGAGTCCGTGAGCCACAACTAGCGAGCCTCCGTGCTGCAACTAATGAAGCCCACGCGTCTAGAGCCCGTGCTCTGCAACAAGAGAAGTCACCACAATGAGAAGCTCGCTCACCTCAACGAAGAGTAGCCCCCGCACCGCAGGTAGAGAAAGCCCGCGCGGAGCAACAAAGACCCAACACAGCCAAAAAAAAAAATAATAAAATAAAATAAATTTTAAAAAATAAAATAAAGTATAGGATGTGGATGTGTGTAGGTTATATGCAAATATTATGCCATTTTATATAAGGGACTTGAGCACCTGAGGATTTTGGTGTGTGTGTTTTGGGGAGTCCTGGAACCAATTCCCCGCAGATACAGAGGGTCAGCTGTACTGATACCTGCTACAACATGGATGAAACTAGAAAACATTAAGTGAAAGAAGCAAATCATGAAAGGTTACATATGTAATGTTCAGAATAGGCAAATTCATACAAAGTAGTGGTCGGCAGGGGCTGGGGAGAAAGGGGATTGAGAGTGACTGCTAGAGGATATAGAGTTTTGTTTTGTTGTGTTTTTTTGCTGGGCTGCATGGCATGTGAGATCTTATTTCCCCAACCAGGGATCGAACCCGCACCCCCTGCAGTGGAAGCGCAGAGTCTTAACCACTGCACTGCCAGGGAAGTCCCAGGATACAGAGTTTTGTTGGGCTGCGCCCCACAGGCCTACAAGGCCTGTGCTTGCCCAGCTTCAAGACTGAAGAAAGAGCCCGAAGTCATCAACAGAGACATCGATGGTTTAATGGATGGGGGGGGCTTACAGGTCCGAAGCAAGGTCCTGGAGTGACACCCCACTATGCGCGGCAGATGGCGGGCAGGATATGGTGGCAGTCTTCGCTCCCGAGGTAAGGGAAGATTACCAGTTATAGAGGAATTGTTGTCAGGTGGGCTCATTAGTTACCAGGGAAACCAGTATCACTGCCCCTTTGATAAGAACAATTACCAGCTGGGGCCTGGGGCAAGTATGTAGGAAGGTCAGTCATTTGCGTAGGGTTTAGGTGAAGCAGGCACGGGTCCGCAGGGGATTCACAGAGAGTAAGAGAACAGCCATCTTGAGTGGCCTGGCCATACAAGTTTCTTTTTGGGGTGATGAAAATGATCTGAAACTAGATAGCGGTGATGGTTGCACAACTTTGTGAATATATCAGAACAGTGAATTGTATACTTTAAAAGAGTGAATTTCATAGTATGTAAATTATATCTCACTAAAATTATTTTTAAACTTTTACATAAGAGGTTTTGCTCCAGTTGCATTTTGATGTAAATTTCAGAATTTTTTGATAAATGGAGATAATATAAGTTATTCTCATTATATTATACTCTCTAGAAAATGTAAGTAGTAAATTTTAATTTGATAAGCCAGCCCACTATTCTCTAAACAATATATTAGCCATGAGCTGTTCATCCACCAGAGACATTTGAAATAGCAAAATACTTTTCTCTCTGCTAATGGCTCTATGTACCACAGTTACAACAGAAATGTAAAAGTTAACTTGTTGGCTTGTTGGTCTCAATACATTGTAGTTAATTAAACAGCCTCTCAAAGCCAGTACTGCTGAAGCTGTTTCCTACTATGCTCTCAGCACTTCTCACTTGTCCATCCACACTCTTCCCACCCATCTGCACAGCTGTGAAGATTAAAAACAATCTCAGTAGTAATCATCATAGCTTCAGGGGTCTATGAAGCCCCAGGAATTATCTGCAAAATGTGATGTGTGTGTATTTTTTCCTGGGCAGCGTCTACAACATTTATCAGCTTCTCAAAGAGGGTCACTGACCAACATTTTAGAGATTTATGTCAGGTCATGCTGCGTTTAGATTCTGTAGTGGCATCTGTGGTTTTAGTTTGCCAAGCATCCTTTCCCCTTTCCCTTTTTTCTCGTCATAGCGCCCCCATCTTTGGTTGGGGAATGGGGAGACCTTTCCCTGAATTCCACACTGATGCTGGAAAATCTTCTCTTTCCATCTGTTACTAAATCCAGAGAATGTCATCTGGGAGCTGTCTGCACTGTTCCCCTGACCCGTCCCTCTTTGAAGGAGCCACCAAGGGGAGCAGGGAGGGCAGGGAAGAGGGGCAGCACCCAGATTCCCTGAGGCCAGCTCCACCCTACCCTCCCTCCTTTCCATCTTTCTGCAGTAGCCGCGGCAACTGTAGTCTGGAGAAGGTAGGGGTGGGACATTCCAGACAGACACAAGGATGGAAAACAGCGTGGTTTAGGAGAACTGATTCCTGGGGCTGCATGGAGGGGATGAGCTCAGAGGCAGATAGGATCAGCCCTGGCGGATCCCCCAGCAAGGCACGCACTGCATGGAGGTCCGAGGCACCGGGTTAGCTTGAGGTCAGGATTACAGAAAACCAGGAGCAAGACAGGGAAGCTTAAATAGCCAAGCTGTGCATCCAGGACTGGGGTGATGGCAGGTCAAGCCCGGCTGGAGGAGGATTGAGCCCCGCCCCCAACCGAGGGAGGAGGGCTGGCTTCGCCCCCCACTGGGAATCTGAGCGATGCTAGTCCAAGACCACCTCCGAATCACAGATGACTTGTTATCCAGTGAACTGAAGGTCAAATAGGGGATCAGTAGGTGGGCCTGGAACTGGAAAGAAAGGACGACTTTCTCTAGGATCTATGTGCCCCCTCTCTTTGACACCCCCTTCCGGTTTCCACTTGGTAGCACCTTCCTGATCCCCTTATCTCCAAGGCGCTTAGGGAAATGTCCCCCTGCAGGAGCCTTCTGAGACATGCTGCTCTGGCCGCCCTGGAACCATGAGCCCTGCAGCTCCGGTAAGAAAGAGATCTCTGGGACAGGAGAAAGGGCCCAGGGCAGGGTGGGTTCCGTTCTCAAGGGATCTTTCAGGCCCTGACAAGCTCTGAATGACATCCTGGGTCTGCTCCTAGGTGGGGGTTTGTAGGGCTGAGCTATTCAAGGAAATGATCCTGGAGGAACAGACTGTGGTGGTAGATAGAGAAACAGTCTTCTTTCTCTAGTTGGGCCCCTTTCAATCCATTTTTGACTGTCCTAGAAATACCTTTCCAACCCATAAATTGAACCGCCTAACTCCTCACCTTGAAACCCGCAAGCCCAAGCTCCAGTCACTATGTCATAATGCCCAAGCTCCCGAGCCTGTCATCCAAGACTTTCATGTTATATCCTTGCAACCCCTGCAGCTTCATCACCTGCTGATCCCCATGCACTCCCCACCCCCCCCCCCCCTCCCTTATTTCCAAACACGCTGAAATACTGGACACTCATACTCATCCTTCAAGACCTCTTTCAGCCTCCTCTGGGAAGCCTTCCTGAACCCCTTGGTCAAAGTCAGAGTCTTCTTTCCCATTGTCAAACCATACCCTGTGCTTTAATTGTGTGTTTATGTTGTCTCCTCCACCAGACGGGAAGCTGGGAAAAGAAGAGGAAGGGCCTTGTCGGATGCTTTTTTATGCCCTCCACTAACGCCAGGTGCCAGGCACAAACTAAGTATCAAGAAAACATGGCAAAGCTAGGAGCCTGGTTTCTCCTTGTAATTTACATTTTTCTAGAAAATTAGAGATCAAGATTCTTGGGAAAAAAGTATTTCATGATAAATGAACAAAATAATGACTTAATAGCAAAATAAAATCGCAGGTGCGGCCTCTCACCTGTGCTCCGGTTGGGCACAGGGCTACCACCCACGAGAGGCTGTATATTGATTACCCATATCTAGGCCTGCAGACTACAAGTCCCAGAAGGCCTCCTGTCGCACATCTCTACACGCCCCGCCCCCTCCCCGGTGGCGGGGCGGGACCGGAGGGCGGGGCCCCGAGGCAGCTAGACCCCGGGCGCAGCCTGGGGAGTGAACAGCCCCGGGCGCTCTGGGGCGCACAAAGCGCAGGCGCAGCGGGTTGGGAGGCCGCAGCACCAAGTAGCGGCCGTTTTGGCAGCAGCGTCGCAACAGGTGTAGACAGGTGGGTGCATCAAGGGGGGTTGGAGAGGGAGTTTGCACCTGGCCGTCTTATCTGACCTGTGTCTGAGCCTGAAGATGGGAGGGAGCAGCAAGAGAAGCAGGGACAAGCCCGGGCCTTCCAACCCAGGTGTTCCAGCCAGCCCTTGCTGCGCAGCAACAGGTGTGAGCTAGTGGGGGGAGGGGCGAAGGCACTAGCTTAAAAGTAAGCCGCACTCAAGAACAGAGGGCACCTGGATTCCAATCCAAACTCCGTCATACACATGGACAAGTCACATGCTATAGCTTAGTTTGTCCATCTGTAAAATAGCAGGAAAGATCCTACCCATCTAGTAAAGTACTCAATAGAGTTGCAGTGGGGCCCAAACTTTGCTGTACACTGAATCACCTGGGTATCTTTGAAGACTATCAGTGCTTACCTCCTGCCCCCAGATATTCTGATTTAATTATTACTGGGTATGACCTGTGTATCGGGAGTTTTAAAAGCTCCTACTAGAATAATGGTTAGAAGCCAGGACTGTTGGGTGTGAATCCTGGCTCCACTGCTTAATAACCAAGCAAATCTGCGCAAGTGCCTGGACCTCTCCAGGCCCCAGTTTCCTGGGAATAACAAGGATTATTGTGGGGCTTCAACGAGATACTAGATGAAAGCACTTGAGAAGTATACCTGGCACATAGTGCTCGATCAATCATAGTTGCTGTTGAACTATTATTTTATGCACTTTGTAAATGGCTGTGGTGGGGTTCAAATGTGAGGGAGGCTTCTCTTATCATGAAAGTCCCTCATTCATTGCCATGATTCTAATATTCTCTGCTGCCAGCGTTTGAAAATTCCAGGGTTTCTAACATTTTAAGAGTTCATCACTTCAGTCTCTACCTGCCCGATGGACATGCTTTTACAGATCTGGAAGTGGAGGCCAGGGAGAAGGGACTTGGTCAAGGTTATGGGGCTGAGATTGGAATCCAGGCTTCTGACCCCCAGCCCCACCCCAGCACAGTGGGTGGCTGCCCTGCTGACCCTACAAGTACAGTGCTCCGATTATGTGCCTGGAGCAGAGAATGGGAAGGAGACAGACAGGCTTGCCCTCTTCGTTTACTCACACTCCTTTACACGTTTCCTCGGTGGCTCCCCCAGGGACGACAGGGGTGGGGGCTTTTCTCTGAGGAGCTGCTGTGGAGCAGCCGATGAGGCCCGTGCGTCTTTTGGCTCCTCTGACAGGTTCCGCCTGACTCTGCCCTGGAAAGTCCTTTTGAGGAAATGGCCCTGGTGAGGGGCGGCTGGCTGTGGAGACAGAGTGAGTGACCCTGGGCCAAGCCCTCATCTGTCCTGCACCTTGTCCAGGGGCAGGGATGAGGAAAGTGGCCTGTTGGACCTGCACAGTGAACCCTTCTCCCAAGAAATCATGCCCTTTTTATCCTCCCCTCCTTTGTCCATACTCTTGTCTCTGCCCGGAATGTCCTTCACATTCCTGACTGCTTGGTAAACTACTTATTCTTCAAAACCCAGCTCAGATGTCCCCTTCTGTGAGGAGCCTTCTCTGCCTTTTCTCTCCTCACCACCCCAGCCCCTGCTGTAGCACCAAGCTGGGTTAGTGGCCCCCTTCTTCGTTCCCAGTGCCTCATACATACCCCTGTTATAGCCCTGATAAATATATAACCATCTTTACCTGTGGGCCTCACCACTCCCCCACCTCATACTGGCTCCAGACTGTGAGCACCTCAAATGCAGGGACTGAGTTTAATTCTCTGTGTGTCCATAGCACGCATACCCAGGGCTGGCCACAGAACAAGGCGCAGAACAAAATGAAAAATGCCTCTGTGCTTTGGAATTTGTAAAGCTCTAGGAAGATCTCTTATGTCTTTACCCTTTTCTGTAAAGTTTTCCAGTCACAAAATGTCTAAAGCTAGGGCTCAGACCCACCTCTGACCAGAGTCATGATCTGAATCAGAGCTGTCCCGGGCTTAGGAGCTCCCCACACCCTATGACCCGTACTCACTTCATTCAGTTCAGCAAACACTGAGTCCAGGTCCTGCTGGGTGCCGGGACAGGTGAGGTGAGCTATGGCCAATCCCTCTGCTCCCCATTTGGTGGAAGAGGCAGACACTACACAAATGACTGTCAGCTGGGGCTTGGCCTTTTTTTTCAAGTATGCTCATAATTATAAGTAATCATTGTATCCCCCTCAGCAGAATGGATGCAATGGAAACTAAGGGTTTCCTTAAGGCAAGCACTTGACGACTAGTTGTTTTGTTAATTCTTGCATAAATCATATTCTGCATTCATACAAAAACAACTTAATGCTTTTTCTCTGACGAACTGTAGGTATAGAAACAAATGTTCAATTGGACGTGAATTTAAATTTGTGGAGGTGCTCCATGTCTTGTGATACTTAAAAAAAAAAAAAAAAAAAAGATTTCCAGCTTCCCCCAAGGAAAGAATCTGATCATTCATTTACCATTCAGCACATTTATGGAGCCCTGACTATGTGTTAGGCCCAGTGGGAGGCAATGGGTGAGCAAGACAGAGAGAGGCCCTGCCATCATTGCAGGGAGTAGACGGGCAAGGACGGGGTGGTTATAACACTGGGGGCCGGGGGTAAGGGGACTCTGGGAACCCACCCAGGGCTCCTGCCCCCCAGCAGGCTCTGTGATCAGCCTGCCTGGCGGGTCTGGAATATCGCACAGGCTCCATCCTCCGCCGCTGGAAGCGGAATTGGTTTGCCCTGTGGCTGGATGGAACCCTGGGCTACTACCAAGACGAGACTGCGCAGGATGAAGAGGACCGCGTGCTCATCCGCTTCAACGTCCGAGACATAAAGATAGGCCAAGAGTGCCACGGTAAGCAGAGCCCCTTTCTCTCTGGCACTGTGACTATGGCCACGGCCCCCACACTGTGTCCGTCTGAGAACACCTGCTCTTCGCAGGTGGAAGGCTCTTTGCGGCTTTCAGAGGCCTTCCATAGACATTGCTTCTGGGCCTCTATCACCTCCAATTCATGTGGGTGTGAATTAAGAAATCAGTTCCTTATTGAGTTCCTACTCTGTGCTGGACCTGGGCCCTATGCTGGGTTCACAGAGGTGAGTCAGACACAGTTCTTGCCCTCTCCCATGCTAGGAATGGAAAAAGATGAAATAAGGAGGCTCAGAGAAATTAAGTGACTGGCCCAAAGTCACACAGCAAATCTCCTTGATCAAGGCTCAGGCCATAATTATACAGGGAAACTGGGAGATAGATATACCTAACTAGAGAAGCAGGCAATGTGGAAAGGTGGAAGGGTCTAAAGAGTTGAGCAGAATCCCAAGGAAAGTGTGTGGGATCAGATGATGTTGGCAGTGGCCAATAAAAAGGACTCAGAGAAGTCAATTCCTATTCTTGTTTCTGGTTTACTGGGGAAACCTGGGGCCTGTGTCCTGTGGAAACCCCGTATATGTGTGTCTGCCTTTAGATGTGCAGCCCCCAGAGGGCAGGAGCCGAGATGGCCTGCTGATCGTGAACCTACGAGAGGGCGGCCGCCTGCACCTGTGTGCAGAGACCCGGGATGATGCCATGTGAGTGGTTCCCAGGAGAGGATGGGGTGGGATCTTGGGGAATATGACCAGACGCCTCCTCCTCATTGGGCCTCTAGTTCCCTAAAGGTAGGAAAAGGGGACAAAGACCCGTGAGCATGGTAGTCTCAGTGGAGGCTGGGCAGAGTGGATTTGAATGGCTCATGGTGATTGGTATGGTATCCAGGAAACTGATATGGTTAGGGATGAATTCAGGACTGTTGGGGGAGGGGTGTGCATACCTACCTCAGGTGTGTGGTCCCTGGTCACTCAGAGTTGGGCATCCAGCAGCCTCTGAGGTGAGCCCTCGCTTGGGGGTGATACAAAGGAACAGACAGTCCCATGGCATCCTCAGAGGCCCTCCTTCTCACTCCCTTCCTAGAAGATGGCCTGGGGCAGGGGGTACTCTGATCTGAGGGATAGACCCTAACCTGCCTAACAGAGGCAGCCCGCGGGCCCCCCATGTGAGATGCAGATGCACACTGAGAGACTGAGCGTGTCTTCCTCACTCACATTCTTGCCCTTCCCACTCTCTGGCGGAGGGTCAGTTGGCCTTTGTGCTACAGGAGAGTGAAAGAGATGGGATGTGTGGGAGTAGGGGAGGCTGACAAAGCACAGAGCCGCCTTGTCCACCCCAGCCAGGTGCCATGGCAACCAACAAAGGCTCAATTGTCCAGTGTCCACTGGGTGTTCCCGGGGCTCTGGGGTCAGAGCATTGGGGAACTGAGTTTGTAGGTTTGGGATGTGGAGGTGGGCTGCAGCCAGAGAACCAGCCTAGGCATGTCAGAATCTGAACTCCTAAGGGACCACCCAAGCCCAGCTGTCTTTTGTCCAGATGGGGAAACCGGAATTTCTAGAGGGAAAGAGACTATGGACTAAGAATGCATTAGGAGGCTGCAGCTCAACTGAGGGCTTGTCTATGTGACTGGAGCAGCAGAGGGGGTCACCTTTGTCTACCCAAGGGAGTCAAGAGGATCTCCCCCTTCACAAGAGACTAGGGCTAGAGGCTGGGTTGGGGAGGAAAGTCTAAAATGTGGGGCCCAATCTCCTTTCTCCTGAACTCCCTCCTCATGGTCTGGTGGGTTTGCATTGCAGAGCATGGAAGACGGCACTGCTGGAGGCGAACTCCACCCCGGTGAGCCCCCTTCCCTCCCTGTCTCCTCCCCACCCCTACCTGCCATGGAATCATGGGTGACTCAGATTCGGTCTCTGCCAGCCAGCAGTTCTCAATTTCCATATATGTGAGTGACTGAGTCCCGAGTGGAAAAGGACAGAAGACATCCAACTGGTGCTTGGAGGAGGGAGAGAGAGGCCTCCAAGAAGGCTTGTTGAAGGGGGTGGCATGTGAGCAGGGGGAAAGGAACTATCTTTTATCCAGCAAGCATTATGTATCAGGTGTGATATAGTTACAATACCAGCTACTGCCCTCAGCCGTCCCGTGAGGTGGGGTTATTGTTCTCTCCGCAGATGACAGGATTGAGTTTTATTCATCCACAACAAATATTTACTGAGTTCCTACTATGTGCCAGGCACCGTACCAAGGACCAGGGATCAGAGGGTAGCTAAGGAGATGTGGGCCCTGCCTTCCTGGACTCAGCCTAATGGGGAGCTAGGCGTGAAGTCACAAATTACAGAGTTAGTGATTCCATTGCAGTGCATTCAATGTGCATCCACCTTGATGGCCTGATCCAGGTGGGAGTCCAGACAAGGCTTAAGATGAGACCTGAAGGATAACAGAAATCAACTGGGTGAAAGGGCTGGGGTGGGGTGAAGGCAAGAGCTTTCCAGGCAGAGGGAACTGCAGGTGCAAAGGCCCTGAGAGGGGTTATGATGCTGGCAAGTTGAAGAACAGAAGGAAGGCTGGGGTGGCTGGATCTCAGGGAGAGAGAGAGCCGTGGGGGAAGGAGGGTTAGCAAAGCCAGGCATTAAAAGCTCTGTTAAGGATAGTGGTTTCAGCTAAGAATACTGGGAAGTCACTGAAAGTTTTTAAGCAGAGGAACGGCATGAGCAGATCAGACCAGACTTGTAGTTTTAAAAAGATAGTCTGGCTGGTAGGTAGGGAATGGACTGTAGAGGGTAAGAGTGGTTGCCCGGAGACCTGTTAGAAGGCTGGGACAGTGTGCAGGTGACCGCCTGTGGGTCTCGACTAAGGCCTTGCTGGCAGAGACAAGCTGATGAGGATAAGACACACTTAAGAGGTGGAATCAACAGAACTTAGTGATTGATGGAGGTATGGTTTTGAGGAGCTGCCCAAAGGCGTGGTTTTGAGGAGCTCGGGTGGCCAAGCTTGGCCTCAACCCCCATCTGCCTGACCCCAGATTCTGTGCTTGCTCCTTCTACCTGTGGCACGGTGGAGCTCCTTGTCATCTAGAAAAAAAAAGTCCGCTGGGAAGTAGCAGGGAAGACTGGGATGCATTTAGAAACTCCCTCAGGCATTCACCTGCTGAGGGCCAGGCATTGTGCTTGACCACCCGGCATTGGTTGTATCATTTAATCTTCAATAAGAAGGGCTAGGGGTTGGTATTTTTAGTCCCATTTTATAGCTGGGGAGCTGAGGTTCAGAGGGGAATTGACTCGTCCAAAGTCTCATCGTCTTAAGTCAGTGGAAGAGCCTGCACTGGAACCTAGGTCAGTGAGACTTTGAGGGAAGGGCACTAACTGCAGTAGGAGCTACATGAGCAGAGGTGGGGAAGTGGTACGTGCAAGTGTGTATATGCACACATGTGTGTCTAAAGGCCAGGAGTCTGGCCTGGCTGGAGGGTAAGGTGTGGAGGGAAAGAAATAGGAGACATGACCTCTGAGGAGCCATGTCACAAACGGCCTTGAAGTCCAGGTGAAGGAACTGAACTTTATCCTGAGGGTTGTGGGGAGCAATAAAGGGCATTAAGCACGGGGGCTGTGGTCAGGCTTTGGAGCAGACTCAGGCTTCTGGGTGGAGGCTGGGGCAGTGGTCAGCAGGGTGGAGGGACCTGGCTCTGAGCTCCAAACCCACTTATGTAGGGCAGACCAGTCCCGCCCAAGAGGGGCAGGAGGAAGGAGGTGAGGGCTGACCGTTCTGTACTCTGTGACTCTATGAAGCTGCCTTGTGTCTTCTCTGCCTATCCACCTTCCTGCTGCTCTGCTTCCTAAATCTCTCTACTCCACTCCACCTCCCCCTGCTCTACACACACACACGCACACACGTGCACACACACGCGCGCATCCCTCTGGTCCCTAGGCTTGCTCGAACTGGGTGTGTTTGTACCTCTGTGTCTTTGTACTAGTGTCTGCCCATCTCTTAGTGTTCATGCCTGTGTCTGTCTGTCCTGTGCCTAATAGGAGTGACCTATGCTTTGTCCCTCCACATCCTGCAGGTTTATACCCCACTCTGGGTGGAGGCTCCAGGAGGAGCCCCTGACACAGGGAAGGGGGCACAGTCAGGGGCAAGGCTGTGGGGCCAGTGCTGGGTGCAGGTGGGTGGGCAGGCAGATCAGAGCTGTACTGTCCTCCCTGGAGACTGGGAGCCTCAGCAGCCTGAAACAGGCGAAGGTGGGCTAATTCTGGAGAGACACTACTGATCCGTCTTCTCTGTGTAACTTCAGCAAAATCACCACCCCTTCTGAGCTTCCCACCGTTACCATGGGCTGGGGAAGAAGAGGATACCCCCTTCCCTTGCCCAGCTGGCAGAGGGCTCTGCTAGGGCCTGTGAAGAGCTCCGAGTCTCTCCAGATGTAGAGGGCCTCTGACACCCGCCTCCCTCCCCTTCTTGGGTTTCTGTGGCTTAAGCAGGCCCCAGCTGGAGCCACCGTCCCTCCCAGGAGCCGCCGGGTTTGCCCCAAGGTCAGGTGTGTGACCCGCTCGTGGAGCCCCTGTAATGTTGAGAGGCGGATCTGGGTAAGTGCTGGTTCAGCCCTCCCGGCCTCCATTCTGGCACCAGGATGTGCCTCCAGCAGTGGGCCCAGTCACATCCCTTCCCTGCTCACAAACATTCCATGGCTCCCCATCATTCATAGGACACCAGCCACAGCCCTGCTTTCAAGGCCTTCGGAATCTGGCCTGGGCCAGACTTGCCCACCTCATCCCCCTCATCCCCTGCGCTCCAACTGCTCTGCTCAACCCCCTGCTCCCAGCTATGCCTGACCTTTTCTGTCTCTCCAGCCTTTGCGTGTGCTGCTCTATCTGCGGCAAAGACCCTTAATTTCCTGACAAAATGATGCTTATCCTCTAAGATGCACCTCAAAGGCTGCCACCTCCTCAGGGAGGACTTCCCAGACCTCCACGCATTGTTGCTCCCTCCCACAACCCACTGCGTTAGTGCTTAGTCCTGTCTTCATTCTGCCTGATTTCTAGTTCCTTTATTTTTGTCTCTATTCTCCCAGGAGACCTGGAACTTCCTTCAAGGCAAGGATCAGGTTAGGTCAGCTCTGCCCTGTGGAACCTGGCACAGTGCTGGGTATACAGCTGGTGCACAATGAGTGCTCAGTGATGGGGACAGTCTATTTTTTTTTTTTTTTTTTTTTTTTTTTTGGGTGCGGGGGCCTCTCACTGTTGTGGCGTCTCCCATTGCAGAGCACAGGCTCCGGACGCGCAGGCTTAGCGGCCATGGCTCACGGGCCCAGCCGCTCCGCGGCATGTGGGATCTTCCCGGACTGGGGCACGAACCCGTGTCCCCTGCATTGGCAGGCGGACTCTCAACCACTGTGCCACCAGGGAAGCCCGGGGACAGTCTATTTTGACCCTCCTATTCCTGGTGCATGAGGGTGGGGTACAAGTAGGTCTCAAGCAGTAGTCACTGAATGGGCAAATGAGTGAATGAATAAAGAGAGGAAGGAAGGAGTAAAAAAACCTCTGTTATGGCCTCACTACTGCGTATTATAATTTAGTCCGTGTCTGTCTCCCTGCCACACACCCCCCTCCCCAGTGTTTCTGGAAAGCAGGATTTGGGGATGAATCCCCTCTCTGTCTCCAGCACTCAGCCTGACCTGGGGTGGGCACAGTAGGGGGCTTGGGTTAGAGTACCTGTGGTCAGCTGTGAACTCCTTTTCTAGCACAGTGGTGCTCAATGTGGCTGTGCATTAGAATCGTTTATGGACTTAAGAACAATTCAGATGTTCAGATCCTACTTCTGGATGCTCTAATTTTGTAGTTCTGGGTGGGGCCTTGGAAATCTATGGTTTAAAAAATTTCTCCTGACGATTCTGATGTGCAGAACCACTGAGTCCAGAAGTGCTAGGACCACCTAGATGCATAGACATGGTTCTGCTGGATTCTCACTGTGCCCTGGGAATGGGCAGTGTAGGAAAGACTGTCCTCATTTACAGATGAGAAAACTAAAGCTCTGAGAGGTTACATAACATGACCGGGGTCACTTAATTCATCAGTGGCAGGGCTGGGATTCCCAGCCCAGCATTCTGAGGCATCCCCCATACCCAAACTAGGATAAAAGTTTGTTTAAAGTGGGGATGCCTAAAAATTGAATTTAAAAGCTATAAACTTGAGCTTTTCTGAGGTGAGGGGTCCATTTGCATGTGACCTCCTGATTGACTGTCCCTGTCCCCACCTACAAAAGGGGCTGGGCCTGGAGAGGAGAGGATCTGGATCAAATCCTTAGATTCTGTGAGGTCTCTGGGGAATCCCTGCCCCGTTGCCAGGTGACCCACATGAGCTTGCCTCTGGGCCTCTTAGGCCTGGAGGGTAGAAACAGGTGCCCCACAGAGACATGAGATGGTGCTTTCTACTTTCTCCAGGGCCTGGACAGGCCCACTGGCTTACAGTGCAGGGCAGATGTAGGCTCTGGACCTCAACTTCCCTACCCGTAAAACTGGGGCTCTTGAGTGCTTAGATCTCTCTAGCCCCTTCTAGGCTTACAGCTCAGATCTTGGTCACCCCTACCAGAAAGCCCTATTGGATCACCCTTGGGGAAGGAGCACAGTAAGGGAAGTCACTTGAGACTGAGCATTGTTTGTCTGAGCCTCTTGCATTGCTCTGGGTCTGGTCATTGTACCTAACTTGAAACTGGACTTAGAGTTGGGTGACCTTAGTTCCAGTCTGACCCTGTATTTGACTCACTTGAGATAAATTCAATACATTAGGCACCTACCATGTTCCAGTCAGGCCTGATTAGACCCAGTCCCTGCCCTTGTTGGGGGCAGGAGGTGTTTTCTTCAAGTCTGATGGAGGAGACACCTCACAGGGATACAACAATGACACCATAGAGTGGTTGGTGCTGTGATGATGGAAGTCTAAGGGCCGTGGGTGCCCAGGTGGGACCCTAACAGAACCTGAGGTTCAGGGAGAGTGATATGTGAGTTGAGTCTAAAAGACAGGTTAGGTAGTTGAATTTAAAAAGATGAGAAAGGAATCCCTTTCAAAGGGAAATGGCATGGATACTTGAAATCACAGGTGTGGTTGGAGGACTCCCCTTTACAGCCAGACTTCTTAAAAGAGATGTCATGACATGCTGATTCCATCCCTCCTCTCTCAACCATTCTTCAGTCCTCCATAGTCTGGCTTCTTCCTCCAACCACTCCTCTGAAAAGTGTTTTCAAGGTCGCCCACAATTTCCAATAAACCAATGGCTTATTCTCTTGGCACTGGGCAAGAGGATGGACAGAAGAGCATATTCAGAAGATAAAATCATGAGATCTGGTGGCTAATATGATGTGGAAGATGTGTGTGAAGACAGCAGTGCCAACCTGATGTCTTGGTTTGAGTGCATGGTGGTGGTGTTTAGAGGAAAGCATTCACAGAAGAGCAGGTTTGGGGGGATCGAAGGATGATGAAATTACTTTGAGATGGTTTAAGTTTGGACACCTGGACTTTTAAGGGACCACCTGGACCATTTAGGTGTTAAGCTCAGTTAGAGATATAAGGTGCAAGGGGGCTAAGAAGTCTGTTCCAAGTCTGTTCCCCATGGATAAAATGAGGGTCTTGGATTAAGAGCTTCCATTTAATTCAGCATATATTTATTAGTCCTTGCTATTCCCTAGGCCCTGCTGGCAACACAAATGAATCAAAGCCCTTGCCAACAGGCAGCTCACATTCAGGGTGCAGGCAGGAAAGGCCAGGAGGAAGGCTGGGAACAAGAGGCACAAGCATAGTCCACAGAGAACTCAGGAAGAAAGGATTCCTTCTGAGGCCAGAAGGGCTTCCTGGAGTGGGTGACTTTTGAATTAGGCTTTGAGGGGTTGGTAAAAATCTAATGGGGGAGGGGAGAGGGCGAACAGTCTATTCCTCCCTCCCAGAGAGAACACTGACCATTCTTCTCTGAGCCTCCATCCCCAGCTGTGTGGTAGAGTGAATAATGCCTGCTGTAAGGATGAGAGGAAATAACACATGTCAGCATCTCCCTTAGGACCTGGAACATGGTGGATGCTTAATAATACTTTAGTTACTTCCCACCTCTACCTTTCCTTTCCCTTCCTTCCTCCACAACCCCCTTTTATTTCCTGGCCAAAGCCCAGGCCCCCCTCTCCATAACCAGGAGAGTAGAGAAGTCCATTGGGTTTCTCCAAGTGTCATCACTGGAGAGCTGCTAGCAAATATTAGACTATCTATCAAAGGAAGTAGGGAGCCATGGAGAATTTTTGATCAGGGGAGTGCTAGGTAGGAAGCCAGGGCAGGAAAATGGCATCGCTGGGAGCTGGATGGAGGGGCTGAAGTATTAGAGGACAAGGGCCTTGTGGGGAGGTAGGGTCTTTCTTCAGGAGCTTGCTGGTATCTGGGGACCTATTTGTAAACTTGGTGTGGTGGCTCTGTGGGCCCAGAAGGGCCTGAACCAGGTGTGGGGGGGAGGGGACAAAAGCCGGGCCCAGCTCTCCGGCAGCTGACCAGGCAGGACTCCCCAGGTGCGCATCTACAGCCCATACCAGGACTACTATGGGGTGGTGCCCCCCAACGCTCACGAGGCCACATATGTCCGCAGCTACTATGGACCGACCTATGGTAAGTCTCTGGCCCACCCCTCCCACTGCCTCAATTCCCGCCCCTGGTCTATCAGTAGGGGCCAGGCCCCACCCTTTTAGTGACCATGGATTTTCCCAGGTGGGACCCTCCGCAAGGCCCCCTCCCCATCCCATGACTCAGAACGGTTTTTGAACCAGAGCCCCTCCCCACTCCAGAGCTGACCTCTTCTCTAGGCCGGCCCCTATTCGCTGGCTGCTCAGCAATACCCATTCTTGAGCTGGTAGCGACCCCTGGTGGCTAATTCGGGAAAGGCTACCTCCTCTCACTCCAGGGTCTGGCGGTTAGGAAGGCCCATCCATCATCAGGTGCACTCTGGAGTTTCTTAGAGACCCCGGGGTTTTCTCGCCAGTCCATCCTAGCCCCACGGTCCCAGAACGTCCCTAGCAGATCCAGGGCATAGAAGCCGTGGGAACAGAGCGCGCGTCCTTCCCGCATCAAGCCCTCAGTTTCTCCGACTGGGGAGCAGGAGAGTGGGCTCAGCGCCTTATCTTGGTTTGGGCTGGAGTCTACCAGAAGGAGGCAGATGATCTCTTTGCTCCCTCCTCTTAAGTCCCTGGTCCTCACGGGCTCTCTCTCCGCAGGCCCCGGCGTGACGCACGTAGTGGTCCGGGAGGATCCTTGCTACAGCGCGGGCGCCCCCCTGGCCATGAGCATGCTTGCGGGAGCCGCCACAGGTGCAGCACTCGGCTCGCTCATGTGGTCGCCCTGCTGGTTCTGAGCCCTGGACCTTGCGCGTAGAGCAGAAAGACCCCTTTCCTGCTTGGTCCCACCCTCCACCATCCAAACCCTGTCCCACTTGGCCCCTTAGTTTCCATTAGCCTCTTCTGGGCTCGGATCGTTCCTCCCACTCCCCACCCTCACCCTGCACATCAGAAGAAGCTATCATCCCAGGCACAAACATAGCTCAAATTTCTTTTATCTACTGCTAGACACCCCAGAAATCCGTTATAGACACATATGGGTATGTTTCCCCCAAACACGCCAGGACACAGAAAATGCAACTCATGGGTCTTCAAGTTGCCCAGGCACTGCAGACACAGGAATCAGGTTCTTTCCCCTGGCAGCTCCAAGCTTGGTGCGGCAGACTGGAGTAAACAAACACTTTACATGGTGGAGTTATCAGTCTTTTGACAGTATGATGGCAAAAAGTGAGGAAGGTAGGCTCGGAGTAAAGTTGTTGGCAAGAGTGCAGAGCCGTGAACATAATGGCACATCCAAAGAATTGAATGGGAGTTCATTTGGGCTGGGGTGTGGGCAGGGGTCAGATCATGATGGCCCTTCAGGCTAAGGAGGTTGCTGGCTAAGGGGGAGGTGTGAGCTTTTTGGAGGGAAGTTTCATGATTGCACCATAATGAATATATTGCCTGTTTTAATTCCCAAACCCAAAACACTCCCTGAGTTTAGCCTCATCCTTCCCAGCTACCAGATTTCTGGATCCTTTGTTCCTTCAGTGTTCAGAAAGCACCTGTTTTCCATGTCAAGGTGCCTGGGGCAGCAATTGAGCTGAACCTGGGGTCCTCTTCCTGGGGGGCAGGTGAGCTCTCTTTGTGACTCGCCCTAGGTTGGTGCCTCCATCAAGAAATGCATTTCTGTTCCCCAAAAGCTTGGCCCTCTATCCATAGCTGTAGCTATCAGCATCTCAGGCTTTGTCTCCTCCTTCACTCTTGGGGAGATGGCAGTGTTCACCTCTGGGACCTGGTCCACCTTTGTCTCAGTCCTGAAGGCCCCACATGTGCCTCCCTGCAGGTGGCCCAGCAGTCTCCCCATTTGGTCCCCTTCTAGTCTCCTCCCCCATCCTGTCCCAATCACTAGTAGAAATGCTAACATCCCTGCCCAGTAGCCAGAGTAGCCTGCTAAAGTTCCCTTGTAGATAGGGGCTCCAGTTGCCCTACTGCAGAGACTAATAAAGGTGTGTTTGGCTCTAGCCCTGACTCTGGCTTTGTCTGTTCCCCCAGGGGGGCCCTGTTTCCCTGGAACACCTCTATGACTCAGCACCTACTAGTGCATTCTCTGGTATAGTGAGAAGAGTGTGGATTCTGAGGTCAGGTAGAATTGGTGGCAGCATGTTAGCTGTGCAATTTAGGGCAAGTCACTTAACATTTCTGTATCTTGCTTTCCCTACCCATAAGCTGGCAGGTTGAAGTTGGCTGTTCCTGAGGGCTTGAGAGGAGAGGCTGCATCAGAATTTCTGTCATCTGAGCTGATGGATGATCCAGGTTATGCCCTGCCTGCTTTCTGAGAGCCCTGTGGTGTTGGGTGGGGTCTTTTCCAGTAGGTTCCCATCCTTCTGGAGTTGAATCAATGAGTTGGGCTCATAGAGACAAAGGTGGCCAGGGAAGGAAACAACCATCTTACTTCAGGCCTTTTGAGGCTGCAAGTAACAGGAACCCCCATGCTCAAACTGATTTAATCCCAAGAAGGGAAAATATTGGGCCACATACCTGAGAAGTCCAGAAACTGCTTGGTCCAGGGACTCAAATATTATCACTTAGACTTTGCTTTGTTTCCATCTTTACAGCCACTGGGCTGGCTCAGAGGTTGCAGTGATATTCGGCAGCTCTAGACTAATGCCCTCCTTGGTTCAAGTCTAGCCAAGAGAGCCTCTCTTCCTCCAACAGTATGAATAAAAGTCCTGGCATGAACTTTTATTCAAACTGTTGCACATTAGCCTGAATTGGGTCTTGTGGCCATCTCTGAATCTACTGTGATCTGGAAAAGATGGTCTAAAATAACAGAGCTTAGAGCAGGGGTGGGGTAGTGTCCCAAAAGAAATTAAGGGCACTGTTCCCAGAGTAGGATGACTAGGTGAGAGCTGGGTGGCAAAAATATCAGGTATCCACCTCAGCCACATTCCCAGACACCAACTTAGAGGGATACATAATCAAAAAGCAATGATTCAGTGAAGTTCGATAGGAACATGGTGCAGTGGGAGCTCTGAGGAAGAGGTATCCAACTGCGCCAAGGGGACTGAGGAAAGCTTTGGGACAGGAAGTGAAAATTTAGGGTGAGCCTTGAAGGATGAGTAGGAGTTTGTCATACAGAGAAAGGAGAAAGAACAGATGGAAGAAATGGCATGAACAAAGGCCTAAAAACATTTTGGTCTTGAGAGCACTGTGAAGTTCAGGAAACAGTCTGATGTCACAGCAAGTTGCATGGTAAGGAGTGGTAGTGGATGGACCAGTTTATAGAGAACCTCCCACAGCTGGGTTAAGGGCTCTTTTCTCTGGACATCTATGGTCTTAGAGCTACATTTATCATGGTCCTGATGATACCATGGTTATTTCCACTCACCCCACCAAACAGGGCAAGAAAGATGCAAATGGATGCTCCAGGTGCAGTTTGCTTCAAAATCTCTCCACTGATGGTTGTAGCATGAATTTTTTATCTTCCAGCTGTTCACTAGACAATTATTAAATTATTCACACACATATTAAGACAAACATTAATTCTCACAGACAACACAGTTTAATCTGGAGGTGGCCTATGGACCGCATCTGGCCCACATATTGTTTTGTCTGGTCAGCACAGTGGTTTTTAAAAGTTTTTAATTAAAATGTGATATCACTAAATGGCTAAAGATAAAATAGATAGCATTAAGTACTGATGTGAAACAACTAGAAATCTCGTTTAAGGGTAAACTGGTACAACTGCTTTGGAAACTGATCAGTTAACTCACACATATGCATACCTCTTAACCCATCAATTCTACTCCTAGGTACCCTCAACAAAAATGGGTACATATGTTCACCCCAAAAATAATAGGTACAAGAGTGTAATAAAAGCAAAAGCTCAAACTCTAGAATAGGTGGATCCATTGATGTATTCCATTCATAAGATGGAATACTATTCAGTGAGAATTAATTATCCATTAAGTATATGCAAAATCATGAGTGAATCAAAAAAATTGCTGACAGGACAAGGGGAGTGGGGGGAAGTGGGAAAATAGAGTTACACTATGACAAGTTTCCTTTTCCTTATGTGAAGTATACAATATTAACTTAAGTATATGCTGATAAGTCAAAGATGCACATTAGAATTCCTAGAGCAACCAATGAAAATATAAAGAGGTTAAGCTAAAAAAGCCAGTAAAGGAGGGACTTTCCTAGCGGTCCAGTGTGTAAGACTCCAAGCTCCCAATGCAGGGGGCCTGGGTTCGATCCCTGGTCGGGGAACTAGATCCCGCAGGCATGCTGCAATTAAGAGTTCTCATGCCACAAATAAGAGTCCTCATGCAACAACTAGAGTCCACATGCCACAACTAAGAGTCTGCATGCCGCAAGTAAAAAGATCCCACATGCCACAACTAAGACCCGGCACAGCCAAATAAGTAAATATTTCTAAAAAAGTAAATAAATAAGCCAATAAAGGAATTTAAAAACAGATGAAGCAAAGAAAACAAACACCAAAATGGCAGACCTATATCCAAACATACTAATTATTACATTAATGGTAAGTAGACAAAAAGCATAAATTAAGAGACAGAGATTGTCAGAATAAACAAACAAGCAAGACCCAACTATATAACTTTATACAAAAGATACACTTTAAAATGTGCAAGTAGGTTGAAAGTAGAAGAACAGAAAAAGATATGCCAGGGATTCCCTGGCAGTCCAGTGGTTAGGACTCAGCACTTTCACTGCCAGGGCCTGGGTTTGATCCCTGGTTGGGGAATTAAGATCCCGCAAGTTGTGTGGCATGGCCGGGAAAAAAATAAAGAGAGAAAGAAAGAGAAAGAAAGAAAGAAAGAGAGAAAGAGAAAGAAAGAGAGAAAGAAAGAACGAAAGAAAGGGAGAAAGGGAGAAAGAGAGAAAGAAAGAAAGAAAAAGAAAGAAAGAGAAAGAAAGAAAGAGAGAAAGAAAAGAAAGAAAGAAAAAGAAAAAGATATGCCACTTAAAGAGTAAGCATCAGGGACTTCCCTGGCACAGTGGTTAAGAATCCGCCTGCCAATGCAGGGGACACAGTTTCGAGCCCTGGTCCAGGAAGACCCCACATGCCACGGAGCAACTAAGCCCATGTGCCACAACTACTGAGCCTGTGCTCTAGAGCTCGCGAGCCACAACTACTGGGCCTGCGTGCTACAACTACTGAAGCCCACGTGCCCAGAGCCCATGCTCCGCAACAAGAGAAGCCACTGCAATGAGAAGCCTGCGCTGCAACGAAGAGTGGCCCCCATTCACTGCAACTAGAGCAACGAAGACCCAATGGAGCCAAAAAAAACCTACAATGAGATATTACCTCACACCAGTCAGAATGGCTATCATCAAAAAATCCACAAACAGGTACTTCCCTGGTGGTCCAGTGGTTAAGACTCCGTGCTTCTAATGCAGGTGGCATGGGTTTGAACTAGGATCCCACATGCTGTGAGGCTTAAAAAAATAAAAAAGATCCACAAACAGTAAATGCTGGAGAGGGTGTGGAAAGAAGGGAACCCTCCTACACTGTTGGTGGGAATGTAAATTGGTGCAGCCACTATGGAAAACAGTATGGACGTTCCTTAAGAAACTAAAACTAAAGCTACCACATAATCCTGCAATCCCACTCTTGGGCATATACCCGGAGAAAAACATGGTCCCAAAGAATACATGGACCCCCAATGTTCATTGCAGTGCTGTTTACAATAGCCAAGACATGGAAGCAACTTAAATGTCCATTGATACAAGAATGGATAAAGAAGATATGGCACATATATACAATAGATGGGCTTCCCTGGTGGCGCAGTGGTTAAGAATCCGCCTGCCAATGCAGGGGACATGGGTTCGAGCCCTGGTCTGGGAAGATCCCACATGCCACGGAACAACTAAGCCCGTGCATCACAACTACTGAGCCTGTGCTCTAGAGCCTGTGAGCCACAACTGCTGAAGCCTGCGCACCTAGAGCCTGTGCTCTGCAACAAGAGAAGCCACCACAATGAGAATCTCGCACACCACAACAAAGAGTAGGCCCCACTCGCAACTTGAGAAAGCCCACACACAGCAACAAAGACCCAATGCAGCCAAAAAATAAATAAATAAATTTATGAAAACAAAATAAAGAGGGGCATTTTATAAAGATAAAGAGTCAGTATATCAAGAAATTGACAGCAGTTCTGTGAGAGAGATTTATACCTATAAATGCATACATTAAAAAAGAAGAAAGATCTCAGTAACCTACCTGGACACCTTAAGGAATGAGAAGAACAAACTAAACACAATGCTGGTAGAAGGAAGGAAATAACAAAGATTAAAGCAGAGATAAGTGAAATAGAGAAAAGAAAAGAAAATAGAGAAATTCAATGAAACCAAAAGTTAGTTCCTCGAAAAGATCAATAAAATCGACAAACTTCAGCTAAGGGAAAAAAAAAAGACTAAAAAAAAAGAGAAGACTAAAATGACTAAAATTGGAAATAAAAGTGAAGACATTACTACCAATTATACAGAAATAAAAAGGATTATAAGAGAATACTATGAACAGTTGTATGCCAACAAATTGGATGACCAAGAGCAAATATTATACTCAATAGTGAAAGACAAAAGCTTTCCCCTAAGATCAGAAATGAGACAGCATGCCCAGTTTTGTCACTTCTACTGGAAGTTTTAGCCAGAGCAATTAGACAAGAAAAAGAAATAAAAGCCATCCAAATTGGAAAGGAAGAAGTAAAATCATCTCTATTCACAGATGACATGATCTTAAATGTAGAAAACCCTATATATTCCACACACACACAAAAATGTTAATAAACAAATATAGCAAAGTTTCAGGATACAAAGTCAACACAAAAATCAGTTGCATTTTATACACTAGCACTAAACAATATGAAAAGGAAATTAAGGGGAAAAAATTCCACTTACAATAATATAAAGAAGAATAAAATATTTAGGAATAAACCTAACCAAGGAGGTGAAACACTTGTATGCTGAGACCTAAAATATTGCTGAGGGGACTTCCCTGGTGATCCAGTGGTTAAGACTCTGTGCTTCCAGTGCAGGGGGTGTGGGTTCAATCCCTAGTTAGGGAACTAAGATCCCACATGCTATGTGGCAAGGCCAATCAACCAATCAATCATTGCTGAAAAGAATTAAGATATAAATAAATGCAAAGTTCTATGGTCTGAATGTTTGTATTCCCCAAATTTCATACATTAAAATCCCACGAGCGACTTCCCTGGTAGCGCAGTGGTTAAGACTCCGCGCTCCCAATGCAGGGGGCCCAGGTTCAATCCCTGGTCAGGGAACTAGATCCCACATGCATGCCACAACTAAGAGTTTGCATGCAACAACTAAGGAGCCCACATGCCGCAACTAAGGAGCCCGCCTACTTCAACTAAGACCCAGTGCAACGAAATAAATAAATAAATATATAAAAGAAATAATCATTTAAAAAATAAATTAAAAAATAAAATCCCATGAGAAACTAACACAACATTGAAAATCAACTATACTTCAATTAAAAAAGTAAACTATAAAAATTGTTTAATAGTTAAAAAAATAAAGAAATCCTAATCCCCGAAAGGTGATGGTATTAATAGATGGGGCTTTGGGAGGTACTTAAATCATGAGGGCAGAACCCTTATGAATGGTATTAGTGCCTTGATAAAAGACGCTCCAGAGATCTCTAGCCCCTTCTGCCATGTGAAGATACTACAAGAAGTCTGTGACCCAAAAGAGGGCCCTCATCCAACAAACTATGCTGGCACCCTGATCTTGTCAGACTTCCAGTCTCCAGAACTGTGATCAATAAATTTCTGCTGTTTATAAGCTACCCAGTCTGTGATATCTTTTTATAGCAGCCTAAACAGACTAAGAGAAATTAATACCGAGATGTGGGATTGCTGTCATAACAAATACCTAGAAATATGGAAGCAGCTTTGGAATTGGGTATGGGCAGAGGTTGGAAGAATTTGGAGGTACATGCTAGAAAAAGCCTATATTGTCATGAATGACTGTTAAGGGCAATTCTCATGAGGGCTCAGAAGGAGAAGAGGAGAGCTGTAAAGAGGGCCTCAATCTTTTTAGAGAATACTTAAGTGGTTGTGACCAGAATATTGGTAGAAATATGGATGGGAAAGACCATTCTAATGAGGTCTCAGTTGGAAATAAGGAATGTGTTACTGGAAACAGGAGAAAAGGCAATCCTTATTATGAAGCGGCAAAGAGCTTGGATGAACTGTGTTCGTGTCCTAGTTTTTTGTAAAAGGTAGAACTTGTAAGTGATGAAATTGTTGTCTGGCTGAAGAAATTTCTAAAGCAAAATGTTGAAGGAACAGCCTGGCTTCTCTTGAATGCTTATGGTAAAATGTGTATTAAGAAACAAAATTCAACTGAGTAAATTTGAAAATCTAATTGGCTTGGGAATTCCTTGGTGGTCCAGTGGTTAGGACTCGGCACTTTCACTGCTAGGGCCCAGGTTTAATCCCTGGTCAGGGAACTAAGATCTGGCAAGCCACATGGCATGGCCAAAAAAAACCACACAAAAAAACAAAAAACAAATTGGCTTTATTCAACAACTCATAAATTGGGCAGCATCTCACCTAGCAGATAGAAAGAACCTCTGAGCTATACAAAATGGAAGGCTTTTTTACATACAGAAGAGGGCAGGAAAAGAAGTTTCTAGCAAAAAATGGATTGTTTCAGGCAAGGTGACTTCCTAGGGGGGACAGATAGCGTCTATTGGGTGGATTACCTTACTAGTGCTGGCCAGGTAATTCCAGATTGACTGGTTAAAGGTCATATTCCAGGGAGAGGCTGAAACTCCAATTAGGTTAGGTATTAAGTCTTGGTTTGCTGACACACGGCTTAGCACAAGTGACTCCATTTTGGGTCTGTTGTTTCTTTTTTAATAATCCATCCCTTTTGATCAGACTCTTAGCCTGAGAGATACGATCAAAATTTAAGGTATTATCATCATTCCTAGCTACCATTCTGTAGTCTTGTAGCTTTTATTGAGCCTTTGTGTATATTCACAGGTCTTTTTTTTTTTTTGGTTACACTGCACAGCATTCAGGATCTTAGTTCCCCAACCAGGGATCGAACCCGTGCCCCCTGCAGTGGAAACAGAGTCTTAATCACTAGACCACTAGGGAAGTCACCAGGCTCAGTTTTTAGCCAGTCATTTTCTTCATTCTTTTTCTGGCATTCCAGTCTTAGGGAGATAATTTGCTTGGTTGTAGGTGGCTGCAAACATGCATTTAAAGCTTTTGAGAGAATACAGCACACCAGGAGGACTACTATAATTATTATGTTCAGGATAATTCCCAATGTTTGGAGTGCACTTTGGAGCCATGGTCCCCAAGATCCAAACAAATCAAAATTTAAAAGTCAAAGAAAGATCACTTGAAGAAATCACTTTCTGAAGCCAAGAGGCTTGTTCAGTAATCTTATGTAGCTGAGTTTTAACTTCCCCAGAATTGTTAATCCAGGTGCAGCAAGTAGTGCTAACCATAGCACAAACACCTCCTTGTTCAGCTAAAAAATAATCAAAGTCTATCCTATTATCAAGGACAACTTCAGCCAGAGTTTGATTTTTGTTGGACAGCTATTGTTTTAGCAGCAGATTCTGCAATATGTTCATTGTTAAGGAGAGGTTCCTTATCATAGCCTTATTTGCATTTACTCTTACTTAGGAATTAGGGTTCTGCCAAAGGAAGCAAATCCTGAAACCGAGCGGGGGCCCTGTGGGGCTCCTGGGCATGGAGGCCTTTTTGTCTCCCATTTCTTGCAGGCAAGACTCTGGCTTCCATGACCTTCCCTGAGTTCCAAAGGGCAGATTTGGAACAGTTGCTAATCATGGGAGGAGCAGTCAGGAAACCACCTGAGGCAAGAATAAAGGGACCGGAGAAGCTCATCAAGATTAGGAGACCTTGACCACCTGAGACCCTGCACATACCCTAATCTTGTCAGCAACCCCACCCTTTTGAAACTTTGCATAAGAAAGAAGAATGCAAGACTGTTACTGCCTTGATCCTTACCACATACTCCTGACCATAAGACGCGACTATAAGACCTCTCCCTATTCCCCAGGGAGGGGGGCACATTTCTTGAGGTGCTAGCCTGCTGTGTTCCCTTTTTGCCTGGCAAAGAATAAAGCCACCCTTTCTTTTTCCTCCAAAACTCTGTCTCCATATCTCATTTTGGCATTGGTATACAGGGAGCCAATATTTTGACATCAATCCTGAATCATGAATGCCTCCTGGGAGGTCCTTTCTAACTTGAAGATATAAATTCAGGGGAGCTGGGACTTCCCTGGTGGTGTAGTGGTTAATAATCTGCCTGGCAAGGCAGGGGACACAGGTTCAAGCCCTGGTCCGGGAAGATCCCACATGCCGTGGAGCAACTAAGCCCATTTGCCACAACTACTGAGCCTATACTCTAGAGCCCGTGAGCCATAACTACTGAGCCCACGTGCCACAACTACTGAAGCCTGCGTGCCTAGAGCCTGTGTTCCACAACAAGAGAAGCCACCGCAACGAGAAGCCTGCACACCGCAACAAAGAGTAGCCCCCGCTCGCTGCAACTAGAGAAAGCCTGCGTGCAGCAATGAAGACCCAACACAGCCAAAAATAAATAAATAAATAAATTTATATTAAAAACAAACAAACCAGGGCTTCCCTGGTGGCGCAGTGGTTGAGAGTCCGCCTGCCGATGCAGGGGACACGGGTTCGTGCCCGGGTCCGGGAAGATCCCACATACCGCGGAGTGGCTAGGCCCGTAAGCCAGGGCCGCTGGGCCTGCGCGTCCGGAGCCTGTGCTCCGCGGCGGGAGAGGCCACAGTGGTGAGAGGCCCACGTACCGCAAAAACAAACAAACAAACAATAAATTCAGGGGGGCTGACCAATGTGGCATCTCAGCTGTGAACAGTTAAGGGCATAGTTAGATAATGTAAGAGGCACTTTCTGGTTATGCTCCAGCCATCTAGGCATTCAAAGGCCTAAGGAGAATGATAACTATCACAGATAAGGATAAAACCTGTCAGGGCACAAACCATTTCTGCTAAGGTGGCACTGTTAATGGACAGATTGGATTTTTTGATGATAAATTCAGCAGTTGGAAAGGTTACTCCCCTTAGCAATGGCCTGGGAGATATGGGTTATGGTGTTATCTTTCCAGGCCAATGCCAGAGTAAAGGAAAGAGAAAAGAAGAAAGGGTTTCATGTTAAAGTAGGAAGTTGTTCTGAGATGGAAGCAGTCTACATCGATGTCAGCTACTTCTTTTCCCTGTCGACTTGACTTGGAGGTCTCCAGCATCTGCACAGGACCAGATGTCAGGTGGTGCCTTCTTTAGCTGTGAGATATGTACCCAAGGTTCAAGTCCCTGAAGTTTAACTGCTATCTGGATAGTGAGGAAGACCTAGTATAGTCCCTTCCAAGGAAATTTAAGGGCAGTCTGTTCTTAGTGATTCCTAATCAGAAGGGTGGGGAAAAATTAGAAACAGTAGTTTGGAGAATCATAGCCAGATATTTGAGGAAACTAAAACCTTAAAGACAATTAACAGGACTAGAATCAAGTATCTACAAAGATGCAAATATAATTTTTCTCTCTACAATTATCCCCATTTTTTACCAAACATAATCATAGTAAAACTAATTTGTTTGCAATAAACTTGTCTTGATTATTTACATAAATGCAACAAGAATATTAATTGACCATATAAGCTCTTTTTAAGCCTGCTTTGCTGAAACTTTTCATAAGGAATCTCAGATTGCACTCTTACAGCCTCTGAGGCCAGTAAGCCAAGCCAAGAACTCACCATCAGTTTGGGTGAATTCTTCTCTTCTCAACGTCCCCACAAAGATCTTGAGGTTCCTGGGCCTGCCAAGAAATGACCTTCCTTATTCACCTCTCAAGGCTGCTGGGAACCCTGTAAGCAGAATACCAGGCCAATTTTCCCAAGGGGCTTTATTGGCTTTATAAAGTCAACAGTTTCCTTTTTTTTCTCTTTTTTCACCATGCCACACAGCTTGTGGGATCGTAGTACCTCAACCAGGGATTGAACCCATGCCCCCTGCAGTGGACCATGAGGGAATTCCCAAGTCAACAGTTTCTTAAAGCTGTCTGGTCATATTTGAGTCTATGCACATCTCTCTCAAATGTGACATTCCAGTCAAAGCCTTGGTAATATAGCTAATGTTTCCAACTGTGCCCCATTACAAGGAGAACAGATTCTTATTGCTTAACAACTATGTTTAGATTACCCATAAAAACTTCACGAGACATTAGACAAAATCAGCCATCATCCCAAGCTATTTTGTTGTTGTTGACAAATTTTATAACAGAGATAACATGAGCTCACTTAACTTTCAGTACATCTAGGTAGAATAAGAACATTATATTTAATGCTGATAACTCTAAAGACATGCCTGTTTTAATTAAACCAACAAACTTAAACTAGCTTTCATTTACTAAAGATTAATCTTAGATCATATGATCCTGAAAAAACATTTAAATCTCTATATTTCTGAGATTTTTAGGAATACTTAATTCATAAGTGTTTAATTTTCTTTAAGCCAATCAAATAAGAGTTTTATGAACTAATTTTGGCAATACCTCCCAGAGGTAGAAAATACATCAAACACACACACACACACGTATACACACACACACACAGAGATATAGATATAGATATGGGGGGGACATAAAAATACAGAAAGACACAAACAGAGACCTTATAGCTTTCATTTAAAACTTTTAGCCATGAGACAGGTTATGGTAATGCAAAACTCACTAGCTTATGGAATAAGTTAAGTTTACCTGCTCAGATGGCTAAAGCTTTTTCTACTAATATTTCTGGAGAAGACCTCTCCCCCCTCCCCCTTTTTCCCCCCTTCTGTTAAGAAATAAGTCCCTGAAGCTTGCATTTCAAGGAGAAGGTCTAGATAAAAAACAAGAGTTCCGGGCTTCCCTGGTGGCGCAGTGGTTGAGAGTCCGCCTGCCGATGCAGGGGACACGGGTTCGTGCCCTGGTCTGGGAAGATCCCACATGCCGCCCGGCTGGGCCCGTAAGCCATGGCCGCTGAGCCTGTGCGTCCGGAGCCTGTGCTCCGCAATGGGAGAGGCCACAACAGTGAGAGGCCTGCGTACCACAAAACAAAACAAAACAAAAAACAAAAAAAACTGGAGAGGACCAGGTAGAACATTTACATATAAAAGGCATGGGGGAAAAAAATGCAAGCTCCTCCAGGAAGGACTTTTGTTCCCTAAGGCCAGAATTTTTAACATAGCTACAAGTCTTTTGAGATGAATAGGCAAGGTTAATTGTTAAAAAGGAAACAGTGAATTGTTCCTGGAGCCAAATTTTTGTTTTTGTAAAGATCTGTAAGATAAGGACAGTTGCTTTTCGTTTATTAAGGAATCGCATTGCAACTTAAATGACATCATAAATTGGTCCACCCACACAACCACATTAGCTTCAATTTGCTTTTTTATTTTTATTTTTTTTTGTTGGCCATGCTGCACGGCTTGTGGGATCTTAGTTCCCTGACCAGGGATCAAACTTGGGCCCTCGACAGTGAAAGTGCCCAGTCCTAACTACTGGACTGCCAGGGAATTCTGTTTGCTTTTTTATATATCAGGAAGATTTCCAGCTTAGATGTAAATCAAAAGATTTCTATGTTCTGGATTAGAGCTCTGTGTCTTTGGAATGTTTTAGTAAATCCTTCCACAAGCCTTTAAAATTTAAGGCTTTTCTTTCCCTCTGTTTACATAGTTTTATTTTAACTTAAGGGAGAAGGCCTAAAAAACTCTCTTAAGTATCTTGTTAGTTTCTAGCTGGGACAAACAGTAAATATTTCTGGTAGTACTGAACAACCCCTCCTTGGATGTAAGCGGAATCAAAAAGGGTACAAAGGATACTACCTTCCCAAGATCCAGAGTCACTCCCAAAAAGTAGCCAAAAGAAGGAACTGACAACCTGTATGTCCGAGGCAGGCAGAAAGCCAGGCCAAGTTCTTAAGACTCAAGACAAGATAAGCAAGAAGGCAATAACTATCCCTGGGAGGGACTTCCCTGGCAGTTCCGTGGTTAGGACACAGTGCTTTCACTGCCATGGACCCGGGTTCAATCCCTGGTTGGGGAACTAAGATCTTGCAAGCTGTGTGGCACGGCCGAAAAAAACAAAAACAAAAACAAACCTATCCCTGGAAGAGAAAGAATCAATAACAAATGGGTCTGGATTTGGAAAGCAAGGGACAGTGTAAAATTTAATTCTCCTCTCTCAACCGGGCACCACAGACAGAGATTTGGGAGAGCTGATCTGGTAAGAATTCTCACTCTTTGCTGGCTTCTGCCAGTTTTCCCAGGAGCCACTCTGTAGGCTCTGGTATCTATCAGAATTTGGCAAGATTCTTCATTAATTTAATTTTAAATTTTTCGCTGTTTAAGAGATTAATGTAGAAGTTTATCAGAAAAATCCCTCAGAGTCTCGTCAACTCAGGGAGGGGCCCATTTGGGGGCCCTCCTTCGAGGGTAGATATGGGGCCTTCAGCAAGGCTACTAGCTTGGCAGATTTTGTTTACAGTCTTGCTTGTTTTTTTTTTTTAAGGCTGCGCCGTGCATCATGCAGGATCTTAGTTCCCCAACCAGGGATCAAACCTGTGCCCTCTGCAGTGGAAGCAGTGTGGAGTTCTAGCCACTGGACCTCCAGGGAAGTCCCTTAAATGATCTTATTGAATTGGAACATTTGTAATAATGGACTTTGTAATTCTAGGTTGTTTTCAATAAGATTTTTGCTTTTTTTGTAGATATCTATGGCTTGTGGGACCATAGTTCTTAGACATAAACTAAGCAGTTGTGCTGGAAGGTGGTGTGCTCAACACTTTGGAATTTAAAGATCCCATTTTTATTAAATAATTAATTAGCTAAGATTTTGGGTCTCTTGGACCCAAACTAATACCTTTTTTTTTCTTTAATTTGGTTGCGCCGGGTCTTAGTTGTGGCTCATATGCTCCTTAGTTGTGGTATGTGAACTCTTAGTTGTGGCATGCATGTGGGATCTAGTTCCCTGACCAGGGATTGAACCCGGGCCCCCTGCATTGGGAACATGGAGTCTTAACCACTGCACCACCCGGGAAGTCCCCTAAACTAATACTTGAAAGGGATGTGCAGCTGAATTGGGAATTGTGTGATGTTTTACAGTGTACCTTGTTGGATGGAAATTTTCTTGAGGTTGGCAGGTGGCCTAGTGTCAATCTAACCTGTTCCATAACCAGCTTATCCTAACAAAGGAGTCTTTGGGTCGGTGGCAAGTGCTCTATTAGCTTTTAAATGCTCAATGCATGCCCACCAATTTTGTGGCTGCTTCCAAGATTTCCATTAGCAATAGCCTTTACCTACACAAAACACAATGGACCCAGTCCAGTTTAAGCCTGGATCCAGTCTGGTTTTTAAGTCAGACCCAGTGTGACTCTGGCCAGAAACCACCAATAATCCCTGATGTGGAATCTGGGAATACAACCAAATCGTGGGGTTTTCCACTCAAAATGGGGAACAGTGGAAAGCCAATTAGATTGGGAGCTCGATGGAAAGAGAGCAGAGCTCAGAACTGAGGGGAACTTACCCACAATCTTCAGAAATGGCGAGGAGACCTCAAAAGGGTTCGTGGGTATGCCTGTGTTTCTTTATGTCCCTAAAGCCATCAGAAGCGTCCTTCCTCAGTCCAATTGCTGCCACCACATCTGTTAAAAAACAAAATTCAGCTGAGTAAATTTGAAGATCTAATTGGTTTTATTCAATGATTCATGAATTGGGTAGCATCCCATCTAGCAGATAGAAAGGAACTCTGAGGAGCTGTATAAAATTGAAGGCTTTTACAGGCAGCAGGGAATGGGAAAAGGAAGTTTCTAGCAAAGAACAATGTTTTAGGCAAGGTGACCTTCCTATGGGGGACAGATGGGATCTATTGGGTGGGTTATCTCACTAGTGCTGACCAGGTAATTCAAAGTCAAGTGGTTAAAGGTCACATTCCAGGGAGAGGCTGAAACTGCAATTAGGTTAGGTACTAAGTCTTGGTTTGTTGACATGGGGTTTAGCACAAGTGACTCCATTTTGGGTCTGTTGTTTCTTTTTTAACGTGTGAGAAGAAAGAAATCATTTAAAGGTAGAATTCTTAATGAAAAGGAAAGCATAAATTTAAAACTCGAAAAATTCTCAGCCTATCCATATTGAAAGAAATAAGAAAACTCATTTGAGAGAGAATGCAAAGTGTGTGGCAGGATCTGATAAGAAGATTGGTATGGATCTACCACTCCAACAGAAGCTGGGAGCTATTCAAGACAATGGGGAGATTGCTTGGTCATCTAAAAGAAGACAGGACCTATTATCCAAGACAATAGAAGAATGACCCCGAAGGCACTCCCATCACAGTCCCAAACTGAAAGGGCATGTGGGGCAGAACAATTTCAAAGGAGAAGCTTCTGCTGCCTGGCACCCTCTCACATCCCAGGCTCTGCTCCCCCCTCCCCAAATTCTGGTACCTGGCACCTCAGCTACCCCAGGTGTAGTGCAGGCCATGGCGATGGTCCTTCCAGAGGGCACAGGTAGTAAATCTTGTCAGTGTCCTCAGCACCAGATGTGGCTACCTCCACCCAGATTCCAAAGGATGGACTGTTTTGGAGCCTCTGATGTGCAAAACAGAGGGCCGCTTTTGGGTACAGTAGAGAGCTCCTGTTAGAGCAATGCCCAGCAGAGTTGTGGGGATGGGACTACCCTCAAACCCCCAAACTGGTAGAGCCACTGGCATGAGATTCCACCTCTCGAGCCACAGGCACGGGACTCCAACCCATGAGAGCTGGGGTGGGGCCACCCGTTAGTCCAAAGTGCAGGTCCCTGCCCCAGCGTGCCTTAAGGTTTTGGACTTGCGTGGGACCTCTTATCCCTTTCTTCTTCTCTATTTCTCCTTTTTGGAATAGGAACATCTATGCTACGCCTGTCCCACCATTGTATTTTGGAAGCACATAACTTGTTTGACTTCATGGATTCATTGCTGGAAACCAATTGCCATAAGCTGAATCTACCCGGAATCTCACCCATGTAAAAAATTAATAGGGACTTCCCTGGTGGTCCAGTGGTTAAGACTTCGCCTTCTTATGCGGGGGGTGTAGGTTCCATCCCTGTCAGGGAGCTAAGATCCCACATACCTCGTGGCCAAAAAAAGCCCACATAAAACAGAAGCAATGTTGTAACAAATTCAATAAAGACTTTAAAAAAATTAATAAACGGAAGCTTCAATTAAATAGTCAGGAGACCAGAAGAGGGAGCTCTCAAACCATGCAATGACAGCAGAGCCCAACAAGCAGACAGACTAGTCTTCCTTCCTGGCAAGGACTCAGCCAATGAAAAGTCATGGGCTTTGTTCATAGTCCTCCCAACTTCCTTTTCCCCTCTATAAAAGCATTCTCCTTTCCTTGCCTTGCAGGGACTTGCCATGGTTGCAGACCCCAAACTGCAATTCTCCACTGATTCTGAATAAACCCCTATTTGCTGGAGAAATAACCTGGAGTCTATTTGTTTTAGGTCAACACCCATATCTAATTTAGATGAGAATTTGGACTTAGACTTTTGAGTTGACACTGGAACAGGTTTAAGACTTTTGGGGTTACTGGGATGGAATGAATGTATTTTTCATGTGAGAAAGACATGAATTTTGAGTGGGCAGGGGCAGAATGCATGGTCTGAATGTTTGTGTCCCCCCAAAATTTACATACTGAATCCTCCAAAAGATGATGGTGTTAGTAGGTAGGCTTTGGGAGGTGCTTAAATCATGAGGGTGAAGCCTTCATGAAAGGGATTAGTGCCTTTATAAAAGGGGCTCCAGAGAGATCCCTCAGCCCTTCCACCCTCTGAGGACACAGCAAGAAGGTGCTCGCAACAAACTGGGAAGAGGGCCCTCACCAGGTGACTGTGCTGGTGCCTTGATCTTGGACTTCCAAGTCTTCAGAACTGTGCAATAAATTTTCTGTTCTTTATAAGTTGCCCAGTCTGTGTTATTTTGTTATAGCAGCCCGAATAGACTAATACAGAAAGACATCCTGTGTTTATGGATTGGAAGACTTAATATTAAGATGACAAACTACCCAAAGTGATCAGAACAAAGCAGCAAGACTCACACTTCCGACTTCAAAACTTACCACAAAGCTACAGTAATGAAAACAGTGTAGTAATGGCATAAGGACAGACACATAGACAGATGGAACAGAACAGATAATCCAGAAGTAAATCCTCACGTATATGGTCAGTTGATTTTCAACAAGAGTGTTAAGACCATTCATTGAGGAAAGGACAGTCTTCAACAAATGTTGCTAGGAAAACAATATCCATATGCAAAAGAAGTTGGACCCCTACCTTATGCCATTTACAAAAGTTACTCAAAATGGATCAAAGACCTAAGCTTAAGAGCTAAAACTATAAAACTGTTAGAATAACATGGCAAAAAATGTTCACGACATCGGATTTGGCAGCAATTTCTCCAATATGACACCAAAAGCATAAGCAAAAAAGGAAAAAGATAATTGGACTTGATTAAAATTTAAAACTTTTGTGCATCAAAGGACACTCTTAGAGTGAAAAGAAAACCCACAGAATGGAGGAAATATTTGTAAATCCATGTATCTATCAAAGAATTAATAACTAGACTATATGAAGAACTCCTATAACAACAAAAAATAAACAATCCAATTTAAAAATGGATAAAGGACTGCACAGACATATCTCCAAAGTTTCTCAGTAAAACAGCCTGCAAGGAACTTAACAAAATAGACATCCTCCAAAGAATGCCAAGTAAACAAGATGTTCAACATCATTAGTCATTAGGGAAATGTAAATCAAACCCACAATGAGATAGATACCACTACATGCCCATTAGGATGGCTATTATTAAAAAAATCAGAACATAAAAAGTATTGATGAGGATGTTGAGAAGTTAGAACCCTCATGCATTGCTGGTGATAATGTAAAATGGTGCAGATGCTGTGGAAAGCAGTTTAGCATTTCTTCAAAAAGTTATCACTTGATCCAGCAATTCTACTCCTAGGTTATACACTAATAAGTGAAAACAGGGACTCAGATGCTGGTACACTAATGTTCATAATAGCATTATTTAAAATAGCCAAAAGATAGAAACAACACAAGTGTCCATCAACAGATGAATGAATAAACAAAATATTGTATATACATACAATGGAATATTATTCAGCCACAAAAAGGAATCAAATCTGATACATGTTACAACATGGATGAACACTGAAAACATCATGCTGAGTGAAGGAAGTCAGACACAAAAGGACAAATATTGTATGACTCCAGTTATATGTGGTACCTAGAATAGGCAAATTCATAGAGACGGATAGCAGAATAGAGGTTACCAGGAACTAGAGAAAGGGAGAAAAGGAGGGTTATTGTTTAGTTTGCATTTCTTAGAATTTTATATAAATGAAAACATAAAATATATACTTTACTTTTTTTGTCCAACTTTTTTCACGAAGGATAATTTTCTGATATTCAGGTATGTTGTTGGTATCAACAGTTCATTCTACAGTAAGCATACATTATGGCATACTATTCCACAGTAAGCATGTACCATGATTTGTTTACATAGTCACCTGATGGATATTTGGGTTATTTCAAGTTCTTGGCTAATACAAGTAAAACTGCTATGAACATTTGTGTGCAAGTCTTCGTATAGACACATGCTTTCATTTCTTGTGGGTAAATACTTAGGTGTGGAATGGCTACTATATATAAATGTATATTTAACTTTTAAAGAAACTCCCAAACTGTTTTTCCAAAATCTCATGTAGCTGTGTATGAGAATTCCTAGTTGCTCCTCATCTTTACCTACACTTCGTACGGCCAACCTTTTAAATTTTAGCCTTGCTGATATGTATGTAGTAGTATTTCATTGTGGTTTTAATTTGCATTTCTATAATGACTAACGATATCAAGCAATTTCTATGTCTTTTCTATCAAGTTATGAGAGTTCTTCATATATTCTGAATACTTGTCCTTTATCAAGCATGCAATCTACAAATATTTTGTCTGTGGCTTGTTTTTTGTTCAGTTCTTTCCAGGCTGTCTTATTAAGAAGAAACTCAGTTCCTCATTGGCTGGAGGCTGCCCTCAGCTCCTTGTTGCTGGGCCTCTCTACAGGCAGCTCAAACGTGGCAGATTGCTGCATAAAAGCAAATGAGTCAGATTGTGTGAACAAGACAAAAGCCACAGTCTTTCATAATCTAACCTTCAAAGTGATGTAACTTTTGCTGTGTCCTATTTCTTAGATGAAAGTCACCAGGTGCAGCCTATATTCAAGGGGAAAGGATAATGCAAATGTATGAGTACCAGGAGGCAGATACCATTTCAGAAACTGCATTCAGAAGATACACAGATGCCTGTCACAAATACTATCTTCAAAATTCTGTTTTCAGTACTTTAATTTTCCTGATTTTCATCTCCCTGGAATTTCTGAATGTTGCTATATATACTATTCTCCTCCTAATCTTTTTGTTTCTTTGCTTTCTAATGAAAGAGTTCAATTGAACGTTCTCACTAATTCAATGAATAGAATCCAGTCTACTACTTACCTGTGTTTTTTATTCCAACTATTATATTTTTCACTTAATATATTTGATTATTTTATGATTCTTGTTCCATACTGGTAGTATCTTACCTCTTCAATATTTATCATGCCATCTTTAAATTATTGGTTGTCTTTTCAAGTAGTTGTGCTTCAAATGGTATTCACTTTTTCTTTTGAGGCAGTTTTCAGGTATCCAACTGCTCTGACTTATGAGTCCAAATTCTCCTGGGGTATGGGTTATAACTCTGGGATGGTATACTGGGCAAGGGTCAAAGACCAGAATGTCAAGTTTTAAGATGGGGAAAGGACAAACCTTGAGACAGAGTTCTAGGTACCACAAGACAACATGTATTGTTCCCATTCAGTATCATCTCACCAAACTTTATTTCAGGGTCTTACCTTTAAACCCAGTTTAGGAAGAAGCAGCTCTTGCAGGAGGCAGTCTTCCTAGATCACAGTCCACTAACTGATGCTTTGAAAGGGTAAAGAGTGAGTGAAAGGCCTAAGGCAGGCAGGTTATTCCCCACCTAGTTTCATCAACTCCTCACTTTTCAGGGATTTTTTTATATTTTTTCTGCGCTGCGCGGCTTGCAGGATCTCAGTTCCCCAACCAGGGATTGAACTTGGGGCAACGGCAGTAAAAGCACGGAATCCTAATCACTAAGCCACCAGGAAATTCCCTCTCAGGGATTTTATACTGCCCTGACATTACTGCTATGGATACCTGAGCCTGTAGTCTGGGCTCTGGCCTCCATTTCTATAGTACAGGGGAGAGCTGTGGTTTACCCTAAGGCCTGTTTCCACTACTCAACTCCATCTTTGCAGTGAGAAAGTATGGCTGAGGTCTAACATAATTTAAGAACAGGTAGCAGGCTGGATTTGGTGCGAGGGAAGTTTGCCACCCCTGTCCAAAGGCAAAGGTGGAGTTAGGCGTGAGGATGCATAAGCAGAACCTAAACTGCTTTTCTTAACACATCCTATTATTGCCTCCACCAGTGGCCCTTTCTTTTTTTTTTTTTTTTTGGCGGTACGCGGGTGTCTCACTGTTGTGACCTCTCCCATTGCGGAGCACAGGCTCCGTACGTGCAGGCTCAGCGGACATGGCTCACGGGCCCAGACACTCCGCAGCATGTGGGATCTTCCTGGACCGGGGCACGAACCCGTGTCCCCTGCATCGGCAGGCGGACTCTCAACCACTGCGTCACCAGGGAAGCCCGGCCCTATCTTTCAAGTTGCAGCCACTTTCCCTCACCCTCAACAGTTGAAAAGAGTCTTGTGACTCCCCAGGGGTTTCTCAGTTTTGTTGTTGTTTTGCTATTTTTCTGGATTCCACATTCCCTTTATAGTCTAGGGAGGAAGTAGCATATGGTAATTCATCACTTTGGCAGGAACGGGAAACCAAGTCAATAAATGTTTTCTTTTGTGTTTATTTATACATTTTTTGGGCAGCAAAACTGTGTTTATTAAAAAAAGAAGTGCACTATGAACACACTTCACTGCTTTGGTTGAAGAACCCCAGCTAAATAAAAAGACCAATATTAAAAGTAGCATTAACTGGTTACTGCCTTAAATATACATTAAAAAGAATCAAATGCTACAGTGTAGGAACACAATCACCCCCATGTCAGAAATCACAACTTCTTCCAAATAAAGAATATGACCCATCGCCATATTGAATTGATATTTATTTCAGGACATGCCATGTCAAAATAAAACAAAAGAGTCAACCCTTGCCTTTAACAATAATATTGTATTATAAAAGCACTTTACAACTCCATCCCATCTTTTGAGTACAAGTTACTGGGGTATGTGGGCTAATGATTATCTGAAAGTATTTCTCTATTCAGACCCATAATCCAAGTGCTCTCTGAATATTATAAGGCTGGACAATAAGTGGGAAGTGGAGGAGGAAGAGGGGAAGGAATAAGGTTCTCCCAGTTAAGGGGTTTGTTGCAATGAGGGGATGAGGAAGTATGAAGATATTTTTGTTGTCTTTTCATCCTTATACTGTGTTAAGTAATGCTTACAACATAAATTCAGCAGGCTTTTCCTGAGCTGTAACTCAGAAATTTTCTTCTTGCAAACAATGTATTTACAAATGTATTTATTAACTTACACAGCAATCTCACAATAACTAGTAAAGATTAAAATGGTGCACTCCTAGTATATTTGTTTGCAGTGTTTTAAGGGAAATACATATTGCCATTGTTATGAAGCTCTAAATAAAATATCTAAAAATTGAAAGTAGTTTTAAAAAAGGCAAGGAAATAAATATCACCAAAGAAAAAAGATTAATTGTAGCTTAAATATAAAATTAAATCACTAGTGAATTAAGCAAACTATACAGATCTAATAAAAAGCAAAACTGGATTGAGAGAACATAAAAAATGCTGAAAAATAAGGCATAAATCTGCATAATATTAAGTTTTATTTTCATTCTCTCCTTTCCCTCTTCTATGTATGCTTTTTCAGATCTGCCTCTAGGGCTTATAAGAAAACTGTTTCCACTTTCAATCTGACCTCAATTGTCCTGGGCAAAGTATTTGCTATTCTCTTGAGGATTCTTTAGTTGGTAAGCTTTAGATATCATTGTTTCTACTAGTTAGTTTCGATCAAAGTGCCAAACTAAAATTCTTCCACTGGTTCTTCTTAAAGGAATTTGATTACTACAGTGCCTTGCCTGCACAGCATTTCAAAAAAAAGGAAGAAAGAAAGGAAGGAAGAAAGAAGGAAAGAAAGAAAAGGAAAACAGAAAAAGAAAACTCAAGAGAAATCTATTGCCTAAAAAAGTTTAGTTTTGTTTTTTAAACAAACAGAAGAACTCGATTTTGACAAGTTTAAAATCCTGGAAGAAATAGCTCTTAGAAGAATTAAATATTTAAAACCTGTTCTGAAGCACTTTTACTTCTCTCCCGGAGTCTAACATGTGAAAGAATCAAATATTTGTTTTGGTCAGAAATATATTTTATGTTCATTTACTTGTAAGTACTCAGTATGTTCATTAGGACTCATTCTGAAGACACACCAGAACCCTTTCCTTATTCCAGCACTGCCTACCATGATAGTTGAGTTTTGACCTCAATTAAGGTCTAACTAATTTATGTCAGTGGTTAAGAATAATTTTGGATATCTTGAGAGCAAGTGGTATTGCTAAAACTGAAGGATAATTCCAATGGGCTTGGTCTGACTACTGCTTTGCCCCCTCTTGTTTGTTTTGATGGAGGAAGGACTGGAATAGGAAGTGGGGTAAAGAACAAGCAAGTAAAGCAGGGAGATCAAGTAGGTAGGCAAGTGCTGCTGTGAACAACTGCTCCTTAACCAAGCCACATACTGTTGAGATTTCCATCGTTTTGAAGTACATTCTCATAACATTAAAAAGGAAACAAAAATGTTAAGAAAATGTATCTAATTTTTAAAGTTACCACTGGAATATGCTGCAATTGTTTGGCTTTTTGTAAAATATAAATAATGAAGACACTGACATTTTTGTGCTTGTGAAGCTAATAGATCATCTCCAAGAGACAGGCAGCAATGCTGAATTGCAATACGTTATTACTGAAGGGAAAAGGTTCAAGCCAATATTCACACTGCAGTCAATGAAAGAGTAAGGGGGCCAAAGCAGTGAGCTTCTGGAGGAAAGTTGAAGATGCCATGGGGGATTAGCAGGAACAGCCTCCTTCGCTGACTGGTTGCTCCTGAGGCTTTTCCAGTTTTATGTCAATCACTGAAACAAAAGCTAAGGAACTATAAATGGGAAAGTACAATTCCAATTCTGCTGAACATCGACAATTCTGCTAAGATCCCCTTCCATTCCTATTTGGCTTCAGAGACTACTCAGCCACTATTTTCTATATAGCTCGCTCACCATATAAGGTGCTCATATGGAATAAACTTGCTTATATCTCCTATATGCAGCAAGGTTCAGAATAAGGTTAATTCCTACTCATGGAAATCTATCCTAAGGAAATTATTCTACAGGAGTAAAAAATCATATAAAGATGATGTTCCTTAAAAAATTATCTATAATAAAAATCTGAAAATAGCCTATAAGAGAGTTCCACAACAGGGAGAGAATTTAATAAATAATGGGGCTTCAACTCTATAGAACACATTATGCTGCTAAAATAAAGGCTTAGAAAACATAAAACATTCAGAAGTGGGAAGAGCTGAATACAAAGTGCTATGAATTCTATGGCTTAATAAAACTGTCTGCATATGGAAAAACACTAGAAGGTAAATATGAGACAAACAAGGAAAATATCAAAATTCAAAATTCTTTTAAATAACTAATATTACATGTGCTTCATTCTGTCCCATTTCTGAAAGAAGAGGCCACGATAAAGCTCCAAACTTAGTTATCTCCTGCCTATGCCAAGTAGACAGTTCAAATGATAGAAAAAGCAGGGGAAGGAAATATGATATATATTGTGGGGAAAAAGCCCAGAGCCAAGGGATGTCAAAATTAAGAAGCAGGAGGGTGGGATGTTAAGTTTCCTGCTCATTAAAAATCAAGCAAGCAAACAAACACAAACCTTCTCACTGATTAATCGTAGTGAGCAGCAGCCTGCGAAGAATGCAACTGGATAACCAGATCTCATTCGTTATAGAAAAACTTTTTGCTCCTAAACCATCAATTCTTGGCTGTAAAAGGCAATGGCATAATATTCCTAAGCCAACCAAGTGGGGCTCTAAAGACTTGTAGTAACAATAAAATTTCCTGATGAAACAAAAAGGATACTGTCTTCTCTGCTTCTGTCCTGTGTGCTTTCCATTCCAGGTAGAGCTGCTGCAACACGTCGGAAGAGCTGTGGAAAAAGAGATGTGATAATTGGGAGGGAAAATTTAGCAAAAGGTATCAAGTAAAGGGATGACCACTGGATGGCTGAGTTAAAGGATATGGCTTCTGGGTTATTCCTTAGACCTTAGCACAATGAAAGCACATTAAAATGTCTATTTATTCTAAAAATGAATATCATGTGAAAACCAGCATGTCAAATACAAAGAGGATCCTTGCTTTCCAACGGGTGAGATTAGACATGAACAAATAGCTAAGAACTAAGGAGCAAAAATATCATTTGAGTCATAAAAACAAACTACTACAGGAACTCAGAGTAAGGACAGAATGTTCATTTAGTTAAACTGTATAGTGGCATTCCTATCTTTTATAATGAGTTAGGTTCTAAAGTTAGTGTACATATGGAGAAAGTCAATCTAGTCAAAATTGCCCTCGATAAATCCTTAGGAAATCACTATGTTAGAAACCACCATACCACACTCAATCCTGGTGAGATGTTCACTTTGAGAGGCATGTGGGAACAGAAACTGACGGAAGGAACAACAGATTCATACTCTCTACTTCATGTCCAATCCTAGCTATCCACTTACTGGGAAGAATGGCAGGTAAAACTGCAGATTATTTCAATCATTTCTTTTTGTTAGGCATGCAGTGTAAAATTCCTATAAATTAAAATGCATATATGATGTTAACTACCTTATGCTAAGTACCTGCTTACTTGAGGCACTGTCTAAAGTTCTCTAGGGACACAAAAATGAACAAGATGTGCTTTTTAGATTCAAGGAGCTCACAGTTTGGCAAAGGAGATAGACTCAAACCATTCCTTGTGTTACAATGCAATGAGTGCTATGAACTAAGGAAGTAGAAAATGATATGGCAATACAGATGTAAGAAGGCCCTACTCAAGAGGCCGAGAAAAATCCTCAGGCAATGACATTTGAGTTGGGATTTAAAGGCAGTTTTAAAGATTTTAAATGGTTGAAAAACATACCATACAAAGCACTCAGAGTTTAAGCACTCCATAAATGTTGCTTAATTAAAATGAGAAGAAACAGAAAGAAGGCCAAAGATGAAAGAATGGAACTATAAGTAATCTGTCTAGGGAAAGAAGTATAGAAAAGGAGCAAATCTTTATCTGTAGGCAATAAGTATGATGTGGTAGGATTAAGGAAGACCTGAATAAAAGTATAATTGTCTTGGTTC